GTTAGTACACTGCAACATCAAGCAGACGGTAAGAAAAGGCCAGATTAACAATGCATACTCAAGAGGATGAAGGATCCCAGGACAGAATCACAGGAGGAAGGAGAGAATAAAACGGACCTGGTACCAGGACCAGACTGAAGCTGTGTTCAGCCTGTGAGCCAGGCCTTAATGAGTCTCCCCCAACCCCATCTTGACCTAGTAGTTCCACTTTAGGGATATCCTTTCTAAGAAAATGTTCCCAGGGCGCCTGGGTGGCTCAGTGGGTTAAAGCCTCTGCCTTCAGCTCAGGTCATGATCCTAGGGTCCTGGGATCGAGCCCCACATCGGGCTCTCTGCTCGGTGGGGAGCCTGCTTCCTCCTCTCTCTCTGCCTGCTTCTCTGCCTACTTGTAATCTCTGTCAAATAAATAAATAAAATCTTAAAAAAAAAAAAAAAAAAAAGAAAAGAAAATGTTCCCAGATACAGAAAAAGGTTTGTGCTCTTGATGGTGTTTCTTATAATAGTGAAAACGAAAACCTGCCTGACTCTACAAGTAAGCACACTCAAATGGAACAATATAGTTTTGTGGGTTTTTTTAAAAATTATTTTGTAGAGGGAGAGAGAAGGGCGGGGAGGGTCAGAGAGATGGGGATAATCTTAAGCAGGTTCCATGCCCAGTGCAGAGGCTGACCTGGAGCTCGATCTCATGACCCTGAATAATGAACCAAGCCAAAATCGAGTCAGCTGCTTAACCGACTGAGCCATGCAGGCGTCCCTGGAACACTATAGTTATTAAAAATGTATACAAAGGGGGTGCCTGTGTGTCTCAGTGGGTTAAGCATCTGCCTTCAGCTCAGATCATTATCTCAGAGTCCTGAGATCGAGCACACATCGGGTTCCCTGCTCCGTGGGAAGCCTGCTTCTCCCTCTCTCACTCCCCTTGTGTTCCCTGTCAAATAAACAAATATTTTAAAAAAAATGTATACAAAGGGGGCGCTTGGTTAAGTGTCTGCTTTTTGCTCAGATCATGATCCGGGGGTCCTGGAATAAAGCCCTGAGTTGGCTCCTTCCTCAGCGGTAAGCTGGCTTCTTCCTCTCTCTCTCCCCCTGCTTGTGCTCTCTCTTGCTCAAGTCAAATAAAGTTTTTTTTTTTTGATGTATATAAAGGCAACATAACAGCATAAAAAATTCTTGTGATAGTCCTTGCAAGTAAATGAGCAAGATGCAGGATATAAAAAGTTCATCCTTACAAGTGTGTTTTTATTTATTTATTTTTAAAGATTTTATTTATTTATTTGACAGAGATGACAAGTAGGCAGAGAGGCGGGCAGAGAGAGAGGGGGAAGCAGGCTCCCTGCTGAGCAGAAAGCCCGATGTGGGGCTCGATCCCAGGACCCTGAGATCACGACCTGAGCCGAAGGCAGAGGCTTAACCTTAGACTGACCCACTCAGATGCCCCACAAGTGTGTTTTTATTTTTATTATTTTTTTTTAAAGATTTTTTTATTTATTTATGAGAGAGAGCGAGCGAGCGAGCACAGGCAGACAGAATGGCAGGCAGAGGCAGAGGGAGAAGCAGGCTCCCTGCAGAGCAAGGAGCCCGATGTGGGACTCGATCCCAGGACGCTGGGATCATGACCTGAGCCGAAGGCAGCTGCTTAACCAACTGAGCCACCCAGGCGTCCCAAGTGTGTTTTTAAATAAGCAACCCAACCTGTTCAGATAAAGTAAGACAGAAAAGATACCTGTGAAATGCTGACAGTGGCTGTAGTCAGCCCCTGTGCTGTCCATGCCCCTTGATCAGGCGAGGCGGACCTCGTTATCCTCACCCTGAGACAAGGGAACTGAGGCTTGGGAGAAGGAGGTGCTGCTACTCTCCAACAGCAGCTCCTCCCAGCGGTGCCCTTGCTCCTACCCGCCCCACCACTTGCTGCCACCCTCCAGGCTCTCAAAGCTCACCTCACACAAGTCCCTTAGGTAGAGCAATACCTTGTCTTCCTCAACAGATGGAATTGCAAAGCCCTTCAGGGCTGGGTCCACATCAGATTCCTCTATCTCACAAGGCCCCACAGATTCTTACCCTCAGAATATTTGAATATTAATACATGAAGACTATGTGGGGCACCTCGGTGACTCAGTTGGTTAAGCATCTTTTTTTTAAGATTTTATTTATCCACCTGACAGAGATCACAAGTAGGCAGAGAGGCAGGCAGAGACAGAGAGGAAGGGAAGCAGGCTCCCCGCCGAGCAGAGCCTGATGCAGGACTCGGGTCCCAGGATCCCAGGACCATGACCCAAGCCCAAGGCAGAGGCTTAACCCACTGAACCAGCCAGGCGCCCCTAAGCATCTGACTCTTGTTCTCAACTCAGGTTTTGATCTCAGGGTCTTGAGTTCAAACCCCACATTGCGACACCCAGTGTGGAGCCTACTTTTTAAAAAAAGGTGGGGAGATAAAGAAAAAGAAAAGAAAAACACCATGAAAACAACCCCCCCCCCCAAAAAAAAAACCCAAGAAAACCTCATGGAACCCATTCCCAAAGTAAATGAAAGTAAATGTGCTTTTCACCCTTTGTACTAGCTGACTGCTGCACTGGACTGCCGTGCAGGGTGCGCGGCTCATACATGTGAAGTAACTAGGCTTCCCTGCTATTTTTTCTGGGGCAAGCCTGCTCTCTGATCCCAAAGAGAAGTCTGGTGCTCCCAGTGAAAGTGCTGACCACCAGAAACACCCACAACAGCAGGAATGGACACAACTGGAGCACCAGGCCAGCAGAAAGGGGCTCCCCCAGAGGGCCTTAGGGGTGGGTGTGGCTAGCACCACAGGGCATAACATTAAGGGAAAGCAGAGCACAGAACACTGTGTCTTATGAGTAAGGGGAAAGGAATGAGAATACACATTCTTATTTGCTCACCTTTTCATGTAGAAATGGAGGATGAACATGTAATGAGTCATCACAGGGGCACCTGGGTGGCTCAGGTCCCCACCATCTCAGGTCCTGGGATCAGCCCCGCTATCTGGCTTCCTGCTCATCGGGGAGTCTGCTTCTCCCTCTGCCTCTGCCCCTTTCCCCGACTCGTGCTGTCTTTCAAATAAATAAAATCTTAAAAAGAGAAAGGGTCATCACAGAGGGCAGGCAGGCCACGGGTGGGGAACCAGAGCCTGTTTCTGAGCCCATGCTGGACCCACTTGTTCATCTCACAGACCCCGTGCTAACAAAGGAGTCGTCAAACCGCGCTCAGGCCGCTCAGCCGGCACTCACTGAGGCCTCCCGTAGCAGCCGACCCACTGCCGACCCTGCTGACCAGAGCCTGCTGTCCCCACTCCGTCTGCGCCACCGTAATTCAGGAGTGCTGCCCTTGACAGTTGGTTCGTTTGCTCAAGGCTGCCCTTTACCTTTGTTCACAGGGTCCCACCTCTGGGGCGGGGGGGGGGGGTTGCTGTAAGGGTGGGACTCTCTTACGAGCCCCACAGCCCACTCAGCGGCCTTCTTCCGCCTGAATGAGACTGTGCACCCGAGGGATACATGTGGCTTTCCTGTCTCTCACCGCTCGGGTGTAAGGGCAACGAAATTCGATGCTCACAGCACTTCCGAGTGGCTCCCGAACAGGCCCAACCCTTCAACGGGGCCAGTGTGGTCGGCCAACCAGCCTCTCTGGTGCCTGGATGCCGGCCTCCAGCTGCTTAGCCCTGAGCCCGCTTGCAAGCTGGCCGGCTCCTTCTCACCCTCCCTATGCCCCTTCCTCAGACACCCCACAGACCCGTCACCACAGCACTCTCACGGCGCGCTCTGTCTTCACTCAGGACTGAAGAGCTTCACCTGCTTCCCGGCTGCCTCACCCTCTCCCGAGAGCGTGGGCCCAAGGCAACAGGATCCCAGTGGACTGATCTGCCGCTCCTCTGACCTTCACGAATGCAGAGAGACGTACCACACAAGCTCACATGGGTTCTTCCCCAAAGGAATGCTTTATTGACAAAGTCCCCATTATCCACTTTAAGGAAAAGATGAATCAGTTACTACACTTGCGTCCTGCCTTCTCACCACACCCCATCCGTGATTCTAACCCTGAAGAAAAAACACCAAATGCTGTTCTTCCCATGGCGCCAGCACAGACCGCAGTCCACCCAGTGTGTCTGAAGTGACCAGCGGACACTCGGCTTACCAGAGGACACCACGGTCTACTAGAGTGGACTCTGCGTGTGCACAGGTGCGCTCTCGGCCTGCTGGAAGCCAATAAGGCACGGAGCTGCCCCTCCAGACACACCCCATGCGTGGGGCCCTGACCACAAGGCTGCTGGGGTGTGGCAGCTTCAGAATGGGAATGAGATCTTTGTAGCTCCTGAGAAAAGGCGAAAGCAGAGTCCCAGCTGACCCGATGCAGGGCTCATCTGCTTCTCACTTGTCCCCAGGGTGCAGCAAACGGGCATGCTGGAGCCGAGCCATCTGTGGAGGGTGCTGGCTTCTGCTTCTCCTGCCCACCCCACGTCCACCCCCAGAGGACCAGAGCCCTCTGGCTGGCAGGAGCTACCCCGGTCCTTGAGGAGAGAGAAGCAAGCTTCATACACTGGAATGCAGTGCATCTGCTGAACAAAACACACCAAGGGTCCAAGCATGCTGCCCTCCGGGCTAGACGCAGAAGTCTACACAATGCTGGAAACCCACTGAAGAACCCTTATTTTCATATAAAAAACATTATAAACAAATAAAGCATATTGCAATGTAAGGCTTGTATGTCAGCTTGAGTCCAAAGAAATAATGTTTTCTAATGGAGACTAAAGCTGCTTTGCTTGGCTTAAATTTTCGAAAAATTCGCTGCATTTAAAAAATAAAGAATCTGCTTTTGTTAGAGCTAGATCATTAGTGTAAGAATTAGGCGCTGTTGATAACCAGGTTCTTGCTGGAGGGTTTCAAAAATTGGAGAGTTTTCTCATTTAGCATTTGAAATAAAAACTGAAGATCAGAGGACTTTCTGGACGAATCTTTCTTCCGCAGATTCCTTCTATAACTCACGAAAGGGGAGGCTGAGGAAATACCACTTATTTTATGCTTATCACTCTCCCGTTCCTTCCACGTTCTCGCGAACTAACAAGACCGCCAAAGGGCCCACTGTCCTGTCAACTCCCTGCACCCCAGGAAGGACGGCACAGTGGTCTGCATCGACCAACTTCAGTGGAAAGCATCTGTGTACAAGACCGCGTTCTGTAGAACTCATGCGAACACAGCAGCCGCGTCTACATGGGAATGGCAGGACCCTCCTCAAAGCCAGCTCGGTGCATCCACCCGAGGTCTGATGGGCTGCTCCGCTACAGCGTCGCGGCTGTGACGATGAGGGCGGGCTTGCACTTCTCCATGGCCGGGCAAAGCTGGGATGGGCTTAGAAAGGCGTGTGATCAGGCAGGGGCTTGGCGCCACTCCCGGTCAGGGAGGGCAGGTTCTCAGTGCCATTCTCTCTGCCACCTACAACCTTAGACTACAGATGGGGAGAAAAAAATCGAGAAAAAAAATAATAAAACCTGAGACAGAGCACACAATGCTGGCACGCCCTAGGCCTTGCTGGGAACCCCAGCTGTTCCGCTCTCTACAAAGTCTACACCACATCAACACCAACGGGCGATAAAGAGGAACAAATCCCCGACACGGGCAACAGGCTGGCAGTATCTCTAGGGGTTTAGGCTGTGTAGAAAGAGCAAATCTTCAAAGGCTCCACGCTACACGGTTCCAATCCTAGGACATTCTGGCAATGACAAGTCATCAAAACGGAGAAAAGATGAGCAGTGGTGGGGGCAGGGCTAGAAGAAGGTGAGCCCCAGGAAGGACCGTTGTGGGGATGACACCACTCTCCACCATGACTGTATCACTGTCCTATCCGGTGGTGCTACTGTGAAACGCGGTCACTGGGGAAACTGCGGAAAAGGTACAAGGACCCTCTGCGTTAGTTCCTGTCACCGCACGTGAATCTACGGTGCCCAAGTACATCTACGTAAAGGACGCGTCGCGCCCCACCCCAACAAGCCAAGTGAATGGTCCAGAGAGAGTTACCTTTATGTTCCCAACTCGGTCTTCAAATGACTTGAAGGTGGCAGAATTCCTTTAAAGAGAGAGAGAAGAGGTCAGTGTAGGGAGCAAGCGGCTGTGCCGCCCCCTCAATCTATAGGGCTCAGGGTCGGGACCAGCCTCCAGAAAGACCCCCAACTGTATCCCGAGACATTAAAAATGGGACACCCCAAAAGGGAGGGGGGCATGTGCCCCGAACATGGCCCCGATAAGGTCATTCTGGAGGCCTCCAGGTCGGAGAAGGCCAGCCACAGCCACCCACTGCAAGAAGAGAAGACCGCACACTGCCAGCGGGTGAAACGCAACTTCACACGGGCAGACTGCAGACCCCTCGCCTGGGCAGTAGGTGGGATGTGGGACGCGTTTCTGCTGTACCCTAAATACACACTGATGGGCCACCCAGACGTCATAGAGAGTCCCAGGTGTTCCTGACACAGATCTCTCACAGAAGTCCAGCAAAGGAAAACCGAGGACAATTCTGGAACAAGGGAGCGAGGAAGTGGCAGAGGAAGAGAAAGCGGGCCAGCCCCAGCCCCACCCAGCACCCTTTCCACAACCAACTCCAGCCTCTCTGGCTCAGCTCCTCCCGGTACCTCGCGCCCCTAGGGGCAGCCTGGCAAGGACCCCCAGCCACAGCAGAGTGTCCTGTAACAAGGATGGTGGCTCTGCGGCTGCCCCACCATGGACAACACACCATGGGAGGTTTCAGAACAGGCCACGGCTCTGGGTGTTCTGAGGAGACCAGGACTCCCCTCCAGATGCAGATAAAAAAGTTTCCATAATAGGCCCAGAAGGACCTCAAGCCTCCTGGCTGCCATGTACGTGTAGGATTCTCTCTGCCCCCCACCCCCGCGGCCCAGCCCCATGGGCAGCCCTGGAAGCTTCCAGATGGGAGCCCGTTGGTACAAGGCTCTCCTCTGCGCCTCACCCCACTAGCTCTTTAGCCTAGAAGGGATCTTTGCAACCCGGGCCCACAGGAGGCTGCCAGGGGAAGGCAGTCCTTGGCTCAGCATCTGGGACGTGTGAGGCTGACCGGCAGGCCTCACCCACTCCCACCCAGCCCCCACTCGGGCTCTGAGAGCTCCGGGGCACGAGTGCACGTTACCTCATGGCCGGCATACTTATCGAGTGGCGGAGTGAAGAGCTGCTACTTGGAAGCATGGGAGAAGCAGAGAAGGAAGTAGGAGTTAACGCAGGAACGAGACTGGCCACCACCACGCCCATTAGCTTGTCCACACAGACCCCTGCCTTTGCAGGGTCGGTGAGCTCTGGCCACAGCACACAGAAGGGCTCCCTACACCAGGAGGAAAACTCAACCCCAGGCTTCTCTCCCTGGCCTCCAAAGCTGCCCCAGAAATGGCACAATGCTAAGGGACAACTTTAAGATAGGAAACGAAGAAGACCTAGGCCTGGGCGTCAGCCGTCCTTACTCCACCTCACAGCAAGTGAAGGGACTTTTTGGTAAAAGAGGAACAAGCAGGTCGCGTAAGTAAAAATATTTACAATCAAACATTGTTCTGGATTTGGGCTCCAGGCCTGGAGCGGGAGGACGCTGTGATGGGGCAGCAGCGCTGGCATCAGGCTAGAAAAGCACGACCGCATCAGCACGGAGCGGGGGCCACTCAGAGGGGTCCCAGTGCTGCCCACCGCTCTCACAGGATCATCTCACGGGACCATCTCAACCCGCAGGGACAAGACTGCTTCTCATGGGGAGGAGAAAACAGGAGCCGGCATTTTGGAGAAAGCAGCACTGACCACAAGAGCGAGAGGGTCAGCATGACCCTCCTGCACGAGGAGGTCTCCCCTCAGGAATCCGCACAGGTGGGGGCCGCGGGACGAGCTCGGTGAGGCTGGGCTGCGGGCTGGCAAGGAGTCACACGGTCACAGCCCGAGGAGCACCAGGCAGGCAGAACACCAGGCGGGCCCCCCGCTGCCTCTTCCAGCGCAGCCTCCCACGGGCCAGCCAGACACCACCCTGCCCTGCGTCAAGAGAAGAACCTTCCAGAGGTAACGTCCAGCAGCAGTCTTACCTAAAGGAGTGTGAGAACGGACGAGCCCTGAAAGGCGGCAGCAGGAGGAGAAGAAATGCAATGTTAGGAAAGGGAGGCCAGGGTCCACCCCAACCCCTCCATCAAGTTCTGGGAGGCCACGCAGGGACCCCCGTGACCACCCCCAGTCCTCACACCATCAGGGAGAGCAGGACGTGCACCCTGTCTCCTCTCCCCAAGCCCCAAGTCCGTGACAGGCACATGACCACACCTCCACGACCCCACCTGGGTCACAGACGAGGCACCGTGTATCGTATCTGTGACTCTGTCTGGAGTTAGAGGGAAGAACCCACAAAGAGCAGAGCAGGGCAGAGGTGAGCTGAGGGACCGCCCTCAGGGTCTGCGTGTGCCACTCCCCAGGGTCCGCCAACAATCTCCACAGCGACAGACCAGCCTCAACGTGGACATCATCCCCGAAGCAACACAGCCACGTGGGTGGGCAGCAGGCCTGCCATCTCCAGGTGGAAGGAGCAGGAGCCTGAGGGTTAGGGGAGGCACGGGCCTTCACAGGTCACCAGACAGAGAGACCCACCCCTGCTTGAACCCAAATCCAGCTCTCTCCCAGCCGCCACCTCGTGCCCCAGGGCACGCAAAAAGCCTCAGGCCAGGGCTGCTCCCGGATAGGCCCATGGAGGACACCGATGTGGGGCAAATGTCTAACACATATGCACTTCCCTACACCTCATTTCCGTTCTCAAGAAGCGGTAAACTCTGAGCCTCAGCTCCAAACTGGGGAGGCTAACGGGCCGTGGCCTCAGAAAGCACCTGAGACAACACAGCAAGGAAGCAGCGGCCACATCGAGGTGCCAGACTTCACCGCGTCCCCGAAAACACAGCAGAATAAAACCAAAGAGCCCCAAGGTGAGGTACAGCAGCAAATGGGACAGTCCCTCTGGGCACATGCAATAGGACCGGGTCCCTCCCGCCAGCCGGCCTGTGCGTGTGAAGCACAGTGCTAACACGACACACAGGGAGGCCACGGGCCACAGGCCACGGGTCAGCAGCGAATGCCAGGTCCTGGCGCCAAGAGCGGGAACGAAGGAACAGACGCCGAGCCGGGCCGGAGCCCGCGGCAGCCCCACCACAGCTGCTCCCAGCAGCGCCAACGCTCTGCGTGCACTCGACCATGAGTGGGGACACGCAACAAGAGCAACGCCCAAAGTGACAGGGGACACGCTTACTGAGCACGTACCGCAGGCCGCGAAGATGCTCACTGCCTGCCTCAAGTGCTGTCACCAGCCTGGCATTCCGAGCGAAGAACAGGTACCACCCGACACATGGCTTGCCCCGCGGCCTGGGGACAGTCCGCGTGAATCCGCAGCCCTCCCTGGGAGCAAGGCCTGGCCCCCAGTGGCGTGCGATCGGTCTGTCCCAGGCTGACCACAGCAGGTACCCCGGAGTGCAGCAGCGACGGCCCATCTAACTCACATGACATGCGCTATAGGCGCACACCCACGCGGTCTCAGCCGGTTTCTGTGAAGCCCACGGGGCAGCCGCCGCGGACCCTCCCTGCCGTCGGCTCGGAGCCATGGCGGGTAGGGCCCGAGTCATCACAGCCACTGTGGACAGGCCTGAGTCTACAGGCTGACCCAAGAGGACCCCCGGCCATACCACAGCCACTCAGGAGCTGGACCAGAGCACCGAGGAGACACACAGACCACGTACTGACTGTTCGGAGTCTCCGAATGTCTGAAATTTTTCAAAATAAAAATCGGAGGGGGACTAATTCCATCAACAAACAGAAGGTGGGCACGGCCCTGGGCAGAAGCCGACGGGGGAGGGGCTGTGCCTTCACCCCTGGCCGTGCGGCCAGCGCGCAGCCCCCACCTCGAGGCCCCACGAGGCAACTGGCGGGCCTGTGCGGGGAGGAAATGCCTAACCTAAGCAGGCAGGGAGGCAGCCCACCCGAGGGTAGGAGGGGAGCGGCTTCCGAGCGGGACGGGGCCCGGCTGCTGCGCTCAGCACACCAAGCCCACAGGCACCACCACACTGTGCTTCTCCACTGTGAGAAGACAGAGGACTCAGCATGGGCTGGGGGCCGCGGGGAGGCGTTCCCCGAAATCCCGAAATGAGGGGACCGGGGCTGCGTGTGGGTCAGGGGCCAGGGCAGGGCTGGGCGGCAGCGGCCAGGTGCCTGCCGCGGTAAGGAAGCCCTCCGCACGGCTGCTGGCTAGTGCACGCTTCGCTCTAAGCATCCCGGGAAGGACGCCTTGCCAAGGGCAAACGAGGTGGTGGCCGAGCCAGGATTCACACTGTGGCCTCGGGCCCCAGGGTCCAATCCCCTCGGCTCAGTGCAGCGTAGCCAGAGACATGGCGGGTGCAGCCCCGGAGCCCAGAGCAGGAAAGGCTGGGTGAGCCACAGCCACCAGGCTGCGTGTGGGTGCTGCCACGTGTGCTCAGAGGCCCCTCTGATGGCCGTGCAGGTCTCCTCAGCTCTGGGGGAGACCACTCAGCCGGGGCCCCTGGCACACGGCCGCACACACTCTGTGATCTGGGCCAGGCAAACATTCCAAGGCAACAACACGCTTCCCCCAGCCCCACCCCACCGGCCGGCCTACCCAGAGTGATGCCCCACCCTGACACTAACACCAAAGGGGGGCCACCTTCCCTCTGAGGAACTTCAGTGGGATGCACCCAACTCCACGGATCCCAAGCGTTAGAAGTTGCCCAGAAGAAACCACCTCCTCCCCCAAGAAACACAGGAATGGCAAAGAGGCCGCCCACAGAAAAGGGACCATGCACTGACTGGTCCAAGCTGGTGGGCTCACATCTGTGGGTGCCAAGAGGCCCTGAGGGGTATGCATCTGAGCCCTAGGCCCCTGAAGAGCCCCCAGCAGCTCTAAAACCCCTAAACCCTCACCTGACTTGCCCACGCCGACTACAGCATCTCACCTCATGTCCCCAAGCTTTCTGCTAATGGCGGAGCCCACGGTGGACAGGGCAGCCGACGTCTTCTGTCCCGCCTGGGAGAGAGTCTCTTGAGTCTTCTTGTAGCTGAGAAGAAATACCAGTTGAACCAACCCAGAAGGAGGAGCAGTCATCAAGCGTAAGCCAAGGACGCCAAGTGCCCAGAGTGTGCCCAAAAGAAGGAGAGAGGAGCCGTTAGTGAGCACATGCCTGGCCCACCAGGGAGGGGACCGACCACAGGGACCTTAGCGGCACAGCCAGGTCTCAACCTCCCAGATCTGAAACAACTGTTTTCTGACCTCATTCTGCCTCACCTAAAACTCAGGTGCCCACTTCCCTTGATCTCTCACCACGCTGAGTGTCTGCCTCCTGCCATGAAGACAGCCCTATAGGGGCCCTGGGTCTGGGACAGAAAACAGAAAAACCCCCTTGTTCTGCTAATCTGGGAAGCTTCTTATGTCAAAACACCAGCACGCCCATGAGCGGGGCAGGATGCACTTGACAGTGTGGACATGGGGCCCCCTGTCCCGTGCTGTCTCACAACACCCTTTCGGCGCCGCAGGACCTTCACCCCAGGCCACCGTTCTCAGTGCCTAGGGGAGCCTTGGATCACAGAACAGACCACCCTTTCCGTGCCCTCCTGCCCCATCCACCTGCACGCAGGTTCGTCCCAGAAGACACACGGGTCCATGACCTCAATGTCCGTGCGATGGCCATGGAGAAGGCAAGGACACCGTTAGGCCACCTGGAGAGCTAACACGTGGTCCTGCCAGCCCTTGTCCAGCTGCCGCCATGAACAGCAGACACAGCCGCCCGAGGCCGAAGGCTCCTTTCTGGCCAACCAAGCAGCCCTAAAGAAACGGCTTGTGATGGCCGGGATCTCAGGACACCAGCCTATTCTCTGAAATCACTTTCTGAGGGCTTGTTGGTGTCCCCAGGTCACGGGGGAAGGTCAGACAGCACACACCTCAGGTCCTCGGAAGTCCTCCCCCCATCCGCTCCCCAGTGCCATCTGCAGGATGCCCCACTGGGAGTGCCTGCTGCCCCCCTCCCTCTCCTCCCTCCTGACCACACTAGGTGGGGTTCTGCCATGACCCCCCCACGCCACCCCATCTTGGGGGGGGTTCCAGCCTTGCACACTCCTGGGAGGGCCTCCCTCAACTGGGCAGGCACTCTTCACAGCACCATGGGGCTCAGGCTTCTCTGGTGCCCAGCAGAGCTCAGGACTCAGAACATGCGCTTTCTAGCCAGAGTTTGAAAACATGTTGAAGTCACTAGAACAGTGAGTTTATCTTAGTTTCCAGGAAGGTTCACAAATCCCAAAACATACTAATAATGGAGAAAAAATAATCTAAAATCTTTACTGTAAGGGCACCTGGGTGGCTCAGTGGTTAAGCATCTGCCTTCAGCTCAGGTCATAACCCCAGGACCTGGGACTGAGCCCTGCGTCGGGCTTCCTACTCAGCAGGGAACCTGCTTCTGTCTCTCTCTCTCTCTCTACCCCTCCCCACTGCTCGCTTGCTCTCTTCCAAATAAATAAAATCTTTAAAAATTTTTAAAATAAAATCTTTACTGTAAGATTTGCTCTGGATTTCCTGAAGGCATTAACTAAAAAAGCCTCTAATTCTGAATCCAACCTTCAGCAAAATCTGACTATCAGAAATCCCACCCCACCCCACCCCGCCTGCGACAGAAACGTTCACAGAACTGAGCATGAATGGAAACAAACCCCAAGTAGGAATGCAGGAGCCCATACAGCTCCATGGCTGGGATCCGGACAGGCCCCCCAGCAGAGGGGCCGACCACAGCTGGTTCCCACGACGAGAAACCCAAGTGCACACGCTCCTTCCGGGAGAGTTTCCACACACTCAGCTGTAACCCTCCAAGGCGCCTTCCCACCTGATGGAGCCTAAGCCAGGAGCCGCCACCTGCACCATACTTTGTCTCAGGGTCAGCAGAACTGTGGCAATAAAGGGCTCTTGCAGTAAGCCTTTGGGCCCCCTCACCCTCACGCCCAGCTGGCGAACTGCTTTCATGTCAAAATGAGTTAAAACAGATTACCTGCAAGAAACAGGCTGGGAGGCACGGTTGTTATTTGTAAAGCACTAAGCACGAAGTAACTAATGGCACTATTTAGTTTCAGAAACGCAAATTCAGAAAACGTCTTCCAGCCATCTCTCGTGAACCAACGAATACGTAAGACCCCGTGGCCCTGTCTGTTGCAGTGAAAGAGTCCGAAGCAGAGGCTTGAAGGCAAAGTCTGCACAGAGTGTCTGTGCCCACGGGGAAGCTGCAGCTGGAGGGACCACAAGCCTGGGCTGCGGACTGCCGGTGACGAGCAGGTCCTGAGGGGACTCAGGTCAGAGCCAGCCACCAGACGACAGACAGCAGGGACCCTCGCGATGGGCCACTGTGATGGGCAGCGGCCCTGCTGGAGACTCAACAGGGTGGAAGGAGGAGTCACAAGTGACTCCTTCAGAGACGGGAACCCCCAAACTGGGGCAGATGCAGAAGTGGAAGCCACGCTCAGGCGGAGACAGGGCCGGGGGCCGAGGCCGAGTCTGGACGCAGGTAACTCGGGCCCAGACATGCTCCACAGTGCTAGACTGAGCCGCCCCGGCCAGCACCCCTCAATCACTCGTGCCTCTCCGGAAACCAGAAGTGTAGAACCCCACAAACTCCAGGCTCCCGCCGTCAGTCAGGGTGGGGCATCTGCCAGAGGTGCTCGCTCCGGGATCTTCCCTTGGGGGCTGCTCCCACTTCCAACTCGGCGGGGGCCTGACCGCAGAGAGGCTTACAGCGCCCCGACCACAGTGAGAGTCCAGTGAGACCCACGCCGGGTCCTCCACACCGGGCCCTCCTGCTGGGGGGCTGTGAACTACAAAGACTCAGACCTGCACCGCTGGGCACCCCCTTACACCAGGAAGGAGCAGCCGGACAAGCTGATACCATCTATGTCTGTGCTTTCTGTCACACACAACCAAAGGACTCAACATGCCAACCAGTGGCCATGGAGTTCACCTGGTGCCACACGCACACGACTGCAGCTCTGTCCCCCAGCAGACAGAGCCCAGGGAGGCACCCGTGTCACAGCCAAGAGAAGACAGGACGAGAGCACCAACACTGCTTCTGCCCAGCACGGCCTCACGACAGCCAGCTTGGCAGGCACACACATGTCTGGTTGACAGGGATCCCTCGGGGGCAGTCATACCCACCAGTGGCCTCCCACAGCGATGACCAGCCAGGCACCTTCGCCCCAGAGAGCGCAGAGCAGCCAATGTTTTTAGTCACCCCACCCCGAGCTGGGTCACCGTCCCCCTGGGCTGTCCCTGCAGAAATGCTCCAGCCCCCGGAGCTTTACGGTGCCAACTCCTCCACCAGCGCGGCTGGGGTGAGGCCTCACGGGAACGGCCGCCACCCGCGAGGCGCCTGGGAAGGGCCATCCCACCGGCCACTTCCATGCCAGAGCCACAGGCTTGTCAGAGGAGTCAGCGGTGTAACTATCTGAAACAGCACTGTAGCGACCTCACACCACCTGGTGTCACAAACGGCACCAAAGTCCCCTAAGGCTCTTTTTGGGTTAAGTCCGCACCATGAGCCTGCCTGGCACCCAAACTGCACAGGTGACAGCTGCTGTCTCAGCCTGGAGAGCACCAGCAACGTGGAGCAGGCATCGTCCGACACAGCCCCGAAGACACAGCGCACAGGGTGTGGCCAGGACTGCTCTCACCCCAAACCGCACAAACGGCGGGACCCGCCAGAGTGCCCTGGCACCCAGCCCCCCCGGGGACACCAAGCTGCCGAGACCCCAAGCACGGAGCCAGCTGACCTGGGAGCCCAGGCGCCGGGAGGACCAGCTCTGTAACAACTGTTCCCTTCCAGGCAGATCGAAGGCCTGTTGGCCAAGCTCTCTGGGAGACACCGCAGCACTTCCTCCTCGACAAGAGATGGAAAACAGTCCCAGAAAGCCATGATCTGGTAACGTGACCCCACTCAGTTCAAAGGCACTAGAATCAGATTGGAGCACAAGTAACAGAAGTGCTATCTCCTTGTGTAAAGATCTCAGATAAACACAGCTTTGGCAGACGCGAAAACCCATCTGTGTTGTTTCCTACTCTGCTCATATTCCACGTGGCTGAGAGCTCGGTGCCCCTCAGACCAAAGCGACCCCAAGATCCCACCAGCACGGCCCGTATGGCAGCCCTCCCTCAAGAACCCCTCAGCGGGAGCCCCGTCCGCAGGGCAGAGAAGACCAAAGCAAGCCCCAAGTCACCATCGGCTTCAGCCCAGACGGGGCGTAGCCACTCTGCCTGCTCGCAAGGCTGAGGGGCGCCTGCCAGCCGGAGGTGCCGCGCAAGCCCCACCAGGCCTCTCCTCCAAGGGACGCGCCCGTGCCAGCCAGATGGAGGTTTTCAGTGCAGTCTGTGGCCGAGCGAATTTCCTTCAGCAACTGCACCATTTCATGAGAGTTTTACTTTCATTTGTGTTTAAGAAAAATCACATTAGGGACGCCTGGGTGGCTCAGTGGGTTGAGCCTCTGCCTTTGACTCATGTCATGATCTCGGAGTCCTGGGATCGAGTCCCGCATCGGGCTCTGCTCTGCGGAGAGCCTGCTTCCTCCTCTCTCTCTCTGCCTGCCTCTCTACTTGTGATCTCTCTGTCAAATAAATAAATTCTTAAAAAAAAAAAAAAAAAAAAAAAAATCATATTAAAAATAAAACACCCCCGAACACCAAAACCAGGTCTGTGCAAAGTGCGCACAGCCTCCCTGTCCCTAAAAGGAGTGTCAAGAGGAAGCGAAGGAGAGAAGTGCTGACGGCAGAGGCACTCACAGGTCTGACTGGGTCACCTTCTCATTCCACTCTCCAAGTTTCTCAGAAGTTTTCACATAGCTAAAAACAGAAAGTCTGTGGTAAATTATTTAGAACAATATTTCAACTAAGGTTTCGAACACAAGTGAAATCCCATGGAACACAGAAGAGGGCTGGATAGCAGGAATGGCGGGTCTCCAGCCTGCCTGAGAACGGGGTCTGTCCCTCCTCTCAGCACCTGCTTGAGGCCAGGGGAAGCCCATGGCAGAACCAACCGGTCCTTTTCCTATCATGCCCATCCGACCCTGGATGATACATTTCAGAAGAGCCATGTAGCTACACTTCCCAAGTTCAGAGAGCTGCGTCACATCTGGTCAGAGGTCTTGGGGTCGTGACCATGTCCTGCTCGTGAGGACTCGAGTTTGCTTCAGCAGATGGGGGATCATAGGAAAATCAGTCTCATTAAGGACCTAATGAGCTTTCTCTCACATTCAGACCCTGAAATATATTCTTCTCAATTTCTGCTTGGACACTAGCTAGTGTATCCACCTGCCTTCTTCTAAAAACATGTGGACTCTAAGCTCTTCCCACGCATACCAGCTGCGAGATCAAGGACTCAGCGCCTCTGGCTGGCTGCTAGCACACAGGCATACTGAGTCCCCTAGGACTTAACCTCCCATTGACGTGGCAAGGGCACCAATCTGGTGAACGACCTCCGCCCACCAGGGGCACCTCTGCTGCAGGCAGGTACCTACGCGTTAGAGACCTGCACGTCATGCCAGCTCCTGGACAGGTTCTGCTTCAGGCCCTCCAAGGCAGAGAGGCCCAGCTTCCTTTTCAGCTCTGCACAGTGCCTCTCCTTGGCTGCCAGGACCTGGCGCAGAGTGACAATTTCCTCTTCCACCTATGAAAGCACATAGTTGGTTAGCTACCGCTACTGCGGGACGTGACGGACGCCCCCGCCCCCACACACTGCAATGAGAGGGTTCTCAGAATTATGGACAAACTTTCCGCTTACAGAAACATAAACTGTCTTAGGAACAGAGTCTATGTCACGCAACTGTTCTGTTTTTATCTGGTACTAGCACCCCAACTTCTTCAGGAAGACTGTCCCATCCCCCTAAATCAAGTGGTTCTGGTGGGGCTACCAAGCACTGTGCCCACCCATGGATCCCCAAGCAAGGCCTGTCACAGCTCTCCCCTGGACTGGGCACAGCTGTCAGAAGAGACCAGCCCCTCTCCCTCCAGGCTCCGAGTCTGGGCCCAGAAGCTGGAACTGCTGGCAGCCAGGCCCCATCCACACTGGGAAGGAAGTGGAGCTGACAGACAGACAGATGGCCAGAGACCCAGGTGACAGAGCAACAGCCTTATGACTACATGTATGTTCCTGAGGTTTGCTCCAGGGCTTGGGAAAGGCAGTCACCCGAGCCAAAAGTAAATTCTCTTTTGTGCTTAAGGTAGTATGAATTGGGTAACAGAAAGAATCCTGACAATAAAGACCTGAACCTTCTCGGGTCCTCAAAAAAGAACGCGGCCCGAAAAAGCAGCGTCCTCTAGAGCGTAACGGCTCCAGAGGTCTGTTTCCAACTGCTGTGCTGATAGCTGCCGTAAGAAAAAAAAAAGTCCTTCTCTTTAAAAAAGTGATGGCTTGGAGCAAGATAACAAAAAGTAGCTCAGAGCCTTACACCACTAGGTTTTCCATCAGAAGATAGCTGAAACAGGAAATAACTTATAAGCAGGGTCATCTAAGGCCAGACTGCTACCAGTTACTCCAGCAGTAGCGACCAGTGACCAGAACATTCCACATACAGTGTGACCACCGACAGAGCTTGAGGGTGTGCAATCCAGCTGTCTTGGGGGGAAGTGCACACTGAGAATTTTAAGTGACACTGAGCTTCTCCACTCTGCAGCTCAGCTCTGAAATGACCCAGTGCAAAACACAAGCCTGGCTGCGCTACCTGCGGCGAGTCCCTAACCTTCCCTCGGCTCAGAAACAGCTGCAGGTTCTCCCCTGATCTGAGACCTGGGCGTGGGCTGAGGCTTATCTGCACAGCAAGGTCTGTTTAGACTCAGGATGCATCAACACAGGTTCGTCTCTGGAGACTGAGCAGGGCTGTGACAGGCAGCACATCAGCTTCTGCCTGACCCGAGGCTACACTCGGGTATTAGCAAATTCACGATGCCAGACTGTGAATCCCACGTGAGTCACCGTTGGAGTCTGCATCACACGGTAAAAAGATATGTCCGTGGCAGCTGCTATGAGTAAAACATATACTTGAAGATTTTGGCTTTTAATTACCATTTCCTCTTAAAAGATTCACTTTAAAAAGATCACATGAAGCACTTTTTTACAGAAGTAGTATTTTTAAAAGGAAAATGGAGATCTAGGGACGGATAAATGTGTGGAGTCTGGAAACTATCAAGTGTTAATTCCAACAAAGAAACTCCCCTCGCTGGTGGGCTCAGAGCAGCTGTCCAGTGTAGACACTCTCCTCACAGACTCCCTACGGGATGCCAAGCACACACAAAGCCACCACAGAGAGCGGTTTCTGTGGGACTCTGGGAACGACCTCCCAGGGCAATTTCTGCAGAGCACAACTAGCCCTATGGCCCCCTCAGGCTAATGAGGGGGCCTGAACTCATCGTCCCCCCCAAGAGAGATGGCCAAGACACAGCACCTTTGCAAGCTCAGCCCTAAGCTCCTCCTCCTCAGCCTCAGTCAGACCCTCAACAGCAGGAGTCTGGGCAGCCACCGTTGTGTCGACAGGGACATCTGTCATGGAGTCGGACAGCAGACCTTTGTTAGGAGAATTCAGGTTGATATCTGCCAGAGACAAATAAGGTCAGAAAGTGTCAATGAGAAGTTACAGAAAGGGGCGCCTGGGTGGCTCAGTCGTTAAGCATCTCCCTTAGGCTCAGGTCATGATCCCAGGGTTCTAGGATTGAGTCCTGCACTGGGCTCCTTGCTCAGCGATAAACCTGCTTCTCCCTCTCCCACTCCTCTCGCTGGTGGTTCCCTTTCTTGCCGTCTGTCAAATAAATCTTGAGGAGGAGAAGGAGGAGAAGAAGAACAAGAAGAAGAAGAAGAAGAAGAAGAGGAGGAAGAGGAAGAAGAAGAAGAAGAAGTAGTAGTAGTAGTTACAGAGAAGTAGATAGGGAAGAGGTCTCCACCAAGGAAGAAAGCAAGGGCGAGAGGACGGGTTATGAGGCATTGGAGGGGGGACTGTGGAGAGAACCAACACCTCTTCTCTGACAGGTTCTGCAGGGATGGCTTCGCCATCAGGCTGAGGGCATCTCAGGCCACCCAAGGTGCTACTGCAGGGCATGAGAAAGGCTGGCACAAGGCAGCCAGACCCTAACTCTGCCTCCCCCGATGACAGTGCACGCTCCGGAGACAGGAACCTTTGCTACAAACAAAGCAGTCTGACCTAACGGATCTTCCAATTTTTAGAGCCGAGAAACTTACTACAGCTGTAAACACAACAGGCACCACCAACCAGCCGATCTGCAGAGCACACGCTAAAATTACACACAAGGAGCACATGCTGCTCATCCAGGCCTGGCAGGGAGTCAGCAAAACAAAATACCCACCGTCTGTGCCCGACCCTCATTCCACAGCAACACGCAGCCAGGCGCAGAGAAAACACTGCTTCTGCCCCTCGAGACCCAGATCAGGCTCCAATTTCCAGAGTCACCATTTTCTTTCCGAATTGAAAGCATCTTCCTGTCTGCACTAAAAGTGGACAAGATCCCGCACAAGGAAACATGCGTCTGCTTTAGCTCGTCCCAGCTGCAAACCCACTGCTACGCTGCAGCACACACAGGCCGCACAGGCCAGGAAAGCGGGCTCTGCGCGGTGTCCAGCACGGTTAAAAGTAAAGGTCTGGGGCACCTCGAGGGCTCAGTCCGAGGAGCGAGCGGCTTTTGATCTTGGGGTCATGAGTTCAAGCCCCACAAGCAGAGGTGACTTAAATAAGTGAGCTTTTTTTTTAATCAGTAAGGAAAATAAACGTGAAGTCACAAAAGCGGACAGAAGGTAAAGCGTCTTCTGCCGCAGGCGTTTCCCCACCGCGGAAGTCCGAGGATCGAGGATCGGCTAAGATCCAGCGCTCCCTTCAGCTTGTGCCCTCACACGCCCGCGCCGCGGGAGCTCAGCACTTCCCGGCGCTGGGTCCGGTTCTCGGCAGAAGCACGTCTGCGTTTCAAGCCGCAGAGCTCAACCTGCACGACTCGGCTTCATCACCTCTCCCCGCCACACCGAACCTCCTCGAATTTGCTAAATGCCTTACCTTCTCCATAACCTTCTCTTCTCTTAAAACACACACGTGACCGAAATGACCCCCGACAGAGACTGGGCGCTTGCCAACCGCGCCGAGGCCAGGCACAGTCACTCGCGAGACAGGGCCTCAGCCCACGAAGGGCCTCCAGAGTGGGGTGGAGGCGCAACCTGGGGGCAGACCCCTCCGGGCGAGTCCCCGCTCGCCAGCACTGCACGGCAGTCCGCGCGCGGATCCTACAAGGGACCCTCGCGAGGGGTTATTCTGGGAACGAGAACAGGCCCGGTGAGGCCCGGCGCAGTCCGCGCTCAGCCCGTACTCCCACCGGTGTCACTACGGCGCGCCGAACGCAGACGTGCGAGTCGAGCCGCGGGAAAGCCCGCAGCGTCCCGGGCTCGGGCTCTGCGCGCTCGACCACTCCGCGAGAAGAAAGGCCTCCGGAACGCACCGGAGTCCACGCATTCCGACCCGGGCCCGCGCGGCCCTTGGACGCAGGAGCCCGGCCTCCCTTCCCAACAGCCCCGGGACGGAGGGCGGACGGGAACCCCGTCTCACGACCGCGACCCGGCCCACGCCACACCGCTGGCGCCGGCTCCGACCGCTCCCGGGCGTCTGCTCTGGAAACGGGCCTGGAGCGCGCGCTGCGCGCCCTTTCCCCCTTGAGTCAACCCCTACGCCGCCTGCGCTCCGGGCAGCGCTGCCACCCAAGGGGCGCCGCACCGCGCGCGAAGGTGGCTCCAGCGCGCCTCCCTCCGTCCTCGTGCAGGTGACCTGTCCGAGGGCCCCGCGTGGGGACGGAGGCCGGCCGACTAGGCGGACGCCGGGCGGGGGCACGAAACCCGAAACCCTGGGGACGAGGAGAAGCTTCCGGGGAGCCGGTCCTCCGAGCGGCCGAGGCGGGGGCGGACGACGCACGCCACGGCCCTCGGAGGCTGCGAGGCCCGGCGCCCGGCAGCTGGAGGAGCCACGCGGCGGGCCCAGGCGGAGGAGCGGAGGCGCCGAGCCCGCGGGTACCTTGGCCTGCGGAGTCCATGTTCGGGCCGCACGGGGGTCGGGGCCCGGGCCTGCGGCGCTGCGGAGCCGAGCGGGCCGCGCCGGGACTCGCTCGCCGCGTACACAGCAGTCAGCGGAACCGCCTCAGCCACCGCGGTATTGCGTAATCAGCGACGCGACGTCCCACTTCCGCTCCGACGCGCGCTCCGCCTTCATCCCGCCCCCACCAACGGCGCCCAATGAGAGCGCTGTTCGGCCCCAGCCCCTATTAACCGCTCCGGTCTGATTGGCCGAGGCTGCGGACGAGGCCGGAAAGGGCGGCCGGGTTCCAAGGGAATCCCTCCCACGTCGGCTCCACCAGCGAGACTCCCAGGTAGAAAGGTCCGGGGGAGCCCGGGGAAGGTGGGAAGTGGGAGGACCGTCCAACGTGGCGCTGCGGAGGCGTGGGGTTGGCCCCCTCGGAGATGCGGGGGTGTCTGCCGCGGCCGAGAAGTGCCACGGCTGACGCGCCGCCCAGACCGCCTGCGATCCCTCTGAGGCCGGACCCCGACTTCGGGATTAGCTTTTCCTTGCGGCTGCTTCTCTTTCCCCTGAAGTCCTCCCTCTTCACGGGACTCTTCGTTCAGTCGTGTGGGGCCGACGCGGGGAAAGGCGCGTCCGCGATTCGTCCCAGCCCGAGGCCGCCGGGTGCGCGCGCGCCGCGCCCCGCGGTGCTCCTCCGTCCCCGCTCACGCGGCGCGGGGAGCCAGGGGGAGCCCCCACTTTGCACATGAGGACACCGAGGTGGGGGTCGTGTGTCCGCGACCCTCAGCCGGTGAGGGGCGTCCAGCCAGCGCGGGAGCAAGAGTTGGCCGGGCTTCTCCACGCACCGGTGTGTGGGCGCCAGGCAACCCGGCTTCGCTGGAACAAGCCCCCGGGCTCCCCTCGCTGGGTCCTCGGGGCCACTGCAAGCAGCTGCTCGGATGGTGCTCAAACCCTTCAGGATCCGACCCTGCTGGGCCGCAGTCCCCCTCTCCAGCCAAGCCTTCCTCGGCAGGGAAGCCCCTTCCTCAACCCGGAAAGCTCCTCCCCTGGGGCAGCCCAGAGCTCACCTCGGCACCGGTGTCCTCTGGGCGCGCACCTGCCTGGCTCTGGCCGGCCCTGGGCTCGGTGCACTCCGGTGCTGCCGATTACGTGTCTGCCCCACTCGGCTTCCCTGAGTTTTTCCAGCTTCCCGCTCAGCCCACCTTGGCTAGCCCCAGTCCCCGCTTCATGCAGCTCGCGGCAAGTGGTAGAGGGGCGACTGCATGACAGGTGGCGGTGGCGGAGGGCCTGTCCCTCATTCTGGAGTACACCAGGAGCAATGCCCGGCTGGGTCTGGCTCAAGGGGATGCCGAGCAAGTGACGGTCGTTCCGTGCCGGCGCGTCTGCTGCCCATATGGACACGCCCCTGTGAGTCCCTGTCACTCCCAGTGTTGTCCTTGCCTGCAGAAGCCAGGCAGGTGGAGGTGCAGAGGGGACCTTACAAAGAGCCCAGCGTCACACTCCTGGTCGGGTCTGGCTGCTAAGACCTGCTTGATAAGCTTCCAGGGCTAGTGTTCCTTCACAGGTAGGGGTGACTTGTCCAGACCCAGAGCCATCCTGTACCCCAGGCCGGGTTAAGAGCACCTCCTGGGGTCCCACAGCCCGTGTTCCCACCATCCTTTTGAGGTGATCAAAGCGCCCATCACACAGTGTTGCCATAAACTGGGTCTACATTCTCTTTGGGAGCAGCCTGGAATCCACAAGTGTTTGAGGGAGAAAAGGAAGGAAGGAAGGAAGGAAGGAAGGGGGAAACGCCCCAGAGAGGGAGAGCACCGGTTCCCTGTGTTGTGCCTCGCCGTCCCTCAGACACCAGGTCGGGATCCCTAGGCAGGGCCACCTTTACTGGTTTCGGGTGCGGGGAGGGAAAGGACTCGAGGCCCTGGAGGGGCGCAAAGGCACGGAGGCGCTTGCCAGCAGCTGCAGGGCGAGGGCTACAACCTCCAGGGCAGCTGGAAGTCCTCGGGCTCCAGCGGACTGCAGTGAGTCGCCTCCACATTCCTGAGGTGTTTGCGAGCCAGGAACAGCGCGAGCTGCCGGCGCCGCCGCGGGCTCAGGCCCCGGCCCACCAGCCAGGGGAAAGAGAGCCCGTGCGGCCCCCAGGCCTGCTCGTCCTCCCGCTCGTCCTCGCAGCGCGCGTGGTAGGAGCGCAGCAGGGCCAGGCACCACTCGTCGTCCACGCGGTAGCGCGCATAGAAGGCGGCCTCCTGCGCCCGGCTGCCGGCGCGGAGCCAGCGCGTCACGACCGCGAGGCCCTCCCGCGCCATCACGACCGGGTAGCGGTGCTGCAGCAGACGCAGGAGCAGCTCGTTGCCGCGGTTGCCCTCCACGTCGCCGGACGGCAGAGGGCGCAGGTGGCCCGAGGTGCTGACCACGTCGTCCTGCGTGCGCCGCAGCAGCAGCACGGGCCCGGGGTAGCGGCACAGCTGCTCCGCCACGTTGAGGTTGAAGTGCTCCCGCACTGTGCGCACCACGAGGCCCTTCCAGCTGTGGGGCATGACCTTCAGGGCCAGCGGCACGAGGTCGTCGAAGGTGGCGTCAAGCACCAGCGCACCGAGCTCCGGGTATGTCATGGTGGCCCAGGTGGCCGTGAAGCCCCCGATGGACCAGCCATAGACCACGACGTGCGCCGGCGGGAAGTGAAGGCGGTGCAGCGCGTACTTGACCACCACGTCCACCGCGTTGGCGTCATGCTGCGGGAACGGCGCGCCCGTGCTGCCCCCGAAGCCCGGGTGGTTCCAGCCCAGCACCGAGTAGCCAGCTTCCAGGGGCGCGGACAGGCAGCCCATCTCGTAGAAGCCGGCATTGCCTTCGCAGCAGATGACGAGGCGCAGGCCGCGGCCTTGGCTGCCCGGGTGCTGGCGGCGATCCATGAACATGGTGTCGATCTCATTGCCGTCACAGGCCACCAGCTTGGCGCGCCGGCCACTGTAGCGCTCCACGAGGCGCTCTTGGCCCTGCTGCAGCAGCGGCAGCAGCGCGCGAGTCATCAGGAACATGGAGCCCGGGTACACGAGCCAGCGGCCCAGCGAGTGGGCCAGCGCGTAGCTGGCGAGCTGGCCCGGCAGCTCGCGGATCTGCTGCAGGAGGCACTGCGCCTGACTGCGCGCCCCGCGCAGCGGTCGCCCTGGCGTGTCCCCGCCCAGAGCCGCACCCCGCAGCAGCCACACGCCGGCCGCCGCCGCGGCGCACGTCAGCGCGCGGTGACCGCTGCCTCCCCCGCCGGCGGCGCGCACGTCATCCCAGCGGAAGTCCACGGGCCAGCTGCGGAAGTTGTAGGTGTAGTGGGCGGTCAGGTAGATCTTGAACACGTGCACCAGCGCCTTCACGAAGCAGACGACACACATGGGCGTCGAGGCTACGGGGCGGCCCGCGCGAGCCGTAACGCCCAGTCGCCAGGCCGGGGTCGCGGCTCTAGGCCCAGGCCCGGCCCCGCGGGCGGCTGCAGGGTTGAGAGCCGCGCAGAGCTGTCTCGGGACATGCCTCTTCAGGGCTTGGCCCTAATGGCCTTTGTGACCTGGGCCTTCCAGGGTCCAGAGGAGGCGGCCTGTGCTTGGCGAGGGCTGGCTTTGTGAGTCATTGTTGCTGGGGAAAGAGGCAACACCCGGTGATGGGCGCACAAAGGGCTCCCAGGCGCGGTGGACCTCAAGTTCTACCCCGCCCCCAGGACTCAAGCCTAGGGACTCCGCCCCAGCCACACCCTCCCCAGACCCTTCTCTGCCTGCCCCCTCCCTGGGCCCCACTTCACCTGCCTTCCATCACACCTTGACCAGCAACCACCGCTCCCCACCCCCCCCTTAACTGAAGGTGGACGGACAGGCTGGAACATCTACTGCCTTCGCCTCTTCCTGGTCAGAAGCCAGGGTCTCACTGGGAAAAACGCAGGGCTTCCCGTGGACTTGACCTAAGCTTGCTGTGGAGCTCTTTCCCGCTTGGTGAGGTACCCGCGTGGGTGGGAGAGGGAGCCAGGAACAGGCAGAAGCAGCTGTTTGGATCAGGCGGTGGGACAGTTTGCAGCGACATGGGAGTCTCCTGAAGAAGGCTGGGAGTGAGTGGCAGTTCCCTGTCCAGGGCCCCGCTAGGTGGTGGTGCCTCCAGACCTCCCAATGCAAGGTGGGGCAGCCCAGAAAATCCAATATGCTTTATCAGCCTAGGGGAGAAACTGAGTCTGGCCCGTGGGCTGCTGTTGGAGCAGCGAAGGCACTGTGTGCTCATGGCCTTACCCGGCCACCACCACCTTCCTTCCCAGGACAGGGGGTGAGCTTGGGCTGGAAACCCCCCATCTGTTCTGGATCCTCTTTCCACTGGTGCCAGCAGAGGCAGTGACCTCCAGGTAGGTCCTGCCTGGCCAGTGTTCCTCATTTTTGGCCCTTGGCCAAGCCCTCCTCCCCACTCGTCACTCAAACCACACCACAAACTGTACCTTCCTCTTTTCTGGAGGGCTTTGGTAGGTTCCTCTTTTTCCCGGGTCCTGGAGACTGCCAGCCCACCTGAGGGCAAAGGGGGCAGGGTTACAGCCAGGGAAGAGCTGGGCTCTGAGGGCTCATTCAACAGTTGCCTGGAACTGAAACAGGGAGTTTAGCAAACCTAGCCAGACCCTTGGATCCCCAGACCTGCCTCAGAGACCCAGAGCGTTCTGGGAAGTCGGAAGGGAGCTCCAGGCTCCTGCAAGCCTTCTCTGTATCTGAGTCCACTGTCAGCCCAGTCAGCCCCCACCAGGTTTGGGAAGCAGAGCTGGAGACCGTTAGGGTCCTTGGGGGTTAGGAAGCAAGAGCAGTCAGTTGAGTGAGTGAGTGAATTGGGAGCTGAATGTCCCTCCCACCAGGGTCTCCAGATAAAATGCAGAATGCCTACTTATATGTGAATTTCAGATAAACAAATACTTTTTGAGGATAAGTGTGTCCTAGATATTGCATGGGTCATACTTATATTAAAAAAAATGTTTATCTGAAATTTGACTCTAACTGGATATCCTGTTTTTAGGTTTGTTATTTTTTGCGACACCTGGCAACTCTACCCTTGTCACCCCTCTGCGTCCCCCTCCCCCCCAGCCAGCTAGATCCAGACTGTCCTGACTATCCAGGTCATACCCCAGGCTGGACTGCCCTTCCCAGTGATCAGGTCCTGAGGACCAAGAGGGTGTCTCAGGGTCCACTCGTGTACCCGGACAAGGGTCCCCTCTTGTTCCCTCTGCCCTGCAACCCCCTCACCTCTTCCTTGGCTCTGAAGGGTCGGTGGGGAGACTGCCCTAGGAGGGAGCCCACAAGGTACCACACCTGGGTCAAGAGATGGGCATAGCTGTTGCCCATGGGGATTAGTGGTTGTGGTCCTGAAATGTGCCTGCTGGCCCTGTGGTTAGGAGTGGCAGTGGAGAACTTGGGAGAGAGTGGGGTGGGGGCCTTCGCTCTCCCAGAACCTCTTCATAAACTCAGAAGCTGTTTACCCTAGCTCGGAGTGGGCTGCGCAGGCCCAGAGGCTCCAGACTCATTTCATGAGACCACAGGAATGACTGCCAACAATAGAGGGCTTCCTTGTGTCCTCAGCCTGAATCCAGGCAAACACAAGGGTCTCCTGGAAAATTGTCCTCCAAGTATGTTAGACATACCACGTTTTGTTTTGATTTGATACCCCAGGGGAAAATGAGGCTTGGAGGAGCCCATCCTCCTGGGGACAGGCTCTCGGTTTGGTGAGCTCTGAGACTTGTGTTTGGAAATAGACTTTCCTTCTGTCAGGCCCACCTGCCCTTGGCTCCCTCGAGGAGAACCGGAAGCTTGGAGGAGGTGGCTGTGGTGGAGGGGAGTAGAGGCCAGTTTCTGAGGATCAAAGATCAGGCTGGAGCTGCTGGCCCCTGAGGGCCCCTGCCCTGTGTCTGGCCTGGCTCCTGACTGCCCCAGCCCTGCCCTCCAGCCCATGGGAGCCCAAGTGCCCCCAACCACCAGCCCTGTTGAGCCAGGAAAGCATGTGACAGGAAGGGAGACCTCCTGCTCTCCTCTCTCCAGAAGAGCCCCCTCAGACTGGACCAGCTGCAGCAGCAGTGACCTCTCCTACCCACCCTCCATCTGCTCAGGGAAGGTGGGGCTGGGATCCCAGCGATCAGGTCTTAGTTTAAGGAGGCAACCCCCCTCACCCTCCAGTGTCTGCTGGGCAGACATCTGAGCATACACCCCACCCCCACAGAGCCTGCTGGGCTCTGTGACCTCTGGCCTTCACCCCACAGGGCTTCCACCCTCCCCCACGGAGGTAATGCTCCCTCCTGGCCAGTTCTGCTCAGCCTCCCTGGAGGCCCTGATTTATGCTGCGGGAGCAGACAGAGCCAACCTTGGAGAAAGAATGGAGGGAAAGAGAAAAAAAAAAACAGTCCCAGAGGCTGGAGGGGTGGGGGCTGGGATCAGAGCCCCTAGCAGAGGGTGTCCAGCCAGGGGGCAGCCATGAGCTGACCACAGCAGCCCTGGGGCTCTGGGAGCTGAGCCTGGGCCTTGGGAAAACCGAAGCCACCCTGATGGGATAGGGAGCTGAGTCTGCACAAACGCCTCTGCTCAGGAAATGGGGTGCAGGGAAGGTGGGGGGTGGCTCAGAGCCTGAGGACAGGAGGGGACGCTTCCTGGCGGATGCAGGGTCAGAGAAGGGGCGGAAATGGCCAAGACAGCTGCTGAACATCTGGAATCCCAGAGAACTACCCAGAGCCCTCCAGGGTGGTGGGGTTGGTGGGGAGCAGTGCACACCCACGCCCTCTCCTTCCTGCCTCCCAGCAGGGCCAGTCTCGTGGGCTCTTCTCCCACTGTACCCCCACCATCAGGGTAAAGTCTGGGTTGGGGTCAGGAGCCCAGCAGGCTGGTCTGATGGGGCCGAGTTCCCTGGAGCTCAGCCCTCCAGGGGTTGCCCGGTCTGTACCATTTCTGCAGACTCCAGTGTGTGGACAGTGCCTCCTGGCACCGTGCAGGCCATGGCCCTGCGCCTGGGATGATCCCTGGGGCCGCATACATGAACTTGAAAGGGTCGTGGTACACTATGGGGCCAGTGTCACTCCGGAGAGTCCCTCAGAGCAGGGCTGTATGCTTTCTACCACTGCACCAAACCCATGCACCGGGGTTGAGGTAAGGTGAGTATTTCGTTAATGTTATGTTATTCAAAATGTAAATGAGGCTCACTGCAGCTGGTGAGACAGGATATGAGACAGTTACCGGTCCTCCCTTGGCACCTCCCTGGAATCCAGAGATACTAACCAGAACGTGTCTTTGCACACCTTTTCCTCTATTTGCCTTCAATGTGCACAGCCTACCGAGGGGACTGGGGGTTTATTTTATCACGTGCGGGACTGGGGGCTTATTTTATCACATGCAGGACTGGGGAGCTTATTTTATCACGTGCTTTTGCAAAAGTGGATGTGGTGTATACATTACCAGGCAACTTGCTTTTCTCCCGAGTATCACTGCAGGCCCCTAGCTGGTAGGTGGCCCATTCCTCCCGGTATACCTCCCCTGTGTTGGTGGATATGTGGGCTTCCAGACCTTTCCCCTCTGCAGCGGTGGCTGCTGTAAGCAGCTTTGTCCAAGGATCCTGGCCTCCAGGTGCTTTCCCCTACACAGTGATTCCGAAGCACGCCTGCCCCAGTGAAAGGAGTGTGTGTTCTCAGGGCAGGGAGATCTGGCCAGATTGCTTTTCTGTGCTTGTGCTGGCCTGTGAGCCCGCTGAGGGAGCTTGTCTCTGCAGCAATGCGGGTCAGCTCTGTGCTTTTAGCATTTACCCGGACGTGTAGATGAGCTTCGTGAATGTTGGTTGATCCCGACCCGCTGACCAGGCCGGCACCAGAAGCCATTCCGTAGTCGGGCGATTCAGTCCCGCATTTTGCTTTTCGCTGCCCCTTGGAGACCCCTCACCTGTGGGACCCTGGTGCCCGCCGCCTCCGTAGTGGCCGGATAGAAACTGCGGCCTGGATCTTCTCCAGCCGGCCCTGGCTCTGGGGGAGGGGCGATGAAGCGGGCCGAGCTTGGTGGGAAGAAGGGAAAAGCCCCGGGATCCTCTGCCTGAGAGGCGGGTCTCGGGCTGTCGGCGTCCGCTGCACCTTGCCTCGCCGGCGCGGGCCCCCGGAAACCAGCAGTGGGGCGGGGGAAGGACCTCCTAGCCCGGGGCGTCGGACACGGTCGCCCGGCCGGCTCGCCCCTAGCCGCCGGGGTCGGAGCCCGCGTTTCCCGGGGCCAGCCTCTGTGGCGACTCAGACTCCCCTGGGGAGCCGAGGTCCCCTTTCCGGGCTCCTCCAGGTCGTGGCCCGTGGACATTTTCCAGGAGGCGGTGAGGCCGCGCGGAAGGTGGAAGGTGTCGCCGAAGCAGCCGCGCGCACAGCGGCCCCGGAGAACCGAGAGGGACCGGAGTTCCGACCCGAGCGCTCGGCACCCTCCCCCCGCCGCGCCCGGGGCGCGAGGCTCCGCTCCGAGGGGGGCAGCGGCGCGTCGAGGCGTCCCCGCAGAGCGCTCCCCTGCGTCCCGGGTCGCCGACAGTCACCCCCACGGGAGGACCCGCGGTGGGGTGCGGGCTGGGGCCTGGGCAGCCAGGGCCATCTCCCCCCGAGGGCGCGAATAGAAAGGGTGGGGAGGTCGCTGGCCCCCAAGAGTCAGGGTGGTCGAGGGTGAGGAGCCCAGGGAGCCAGAGGGCGCTGCCGGGAGGCCCCTGGGTCTGCCTTCCTGGGGTGCGGGTTTCCCACTTGCCTGGGAGAGCGGGCTGAAAGCTGGCTTCTGCTTGGGTCCCAGGTCAGGAGCTGACGTTTTCCTGACCCTACAGAAGAGGAGAACCCCGCCCCCTCCCTTGCGGCCAGGCTCTGGTCCCTGGAGACCTTGGCACCCCAGTGGAGGAGGAGGGAAGCCTGGAGGTTGGGTGAGGGGAGGCCAGCCCAGAGGGGTGCAGGACCCTGTAAGAGGCCACGGTGGACTTGGTAGAAGGAAGACCACCAGGACCTCAGGTCTCTCTCTGGCCAGAGTGCCCTCTGCCTTGTGGCACTGAGCTGGGGGAGGGGCTGTTCTTGGGCCCCACAGTCAGCACCTCCGGAGCCTGCGTGAGCGGATCTAGGTTACAGCCCTCTGGGCTCCTTCTAAGTCTCTTGTGCAGATTAAAAACGGCAACTGTCCTGGAGCTGACCCCAGGGGACCCTGAAAGTTTCCTCTCCCCTCCCACCCCCCCTTGCTCAAGGCGCTCTCTGTTCTCAGAGTCTGCTGAACTCCTGTCTGAACTCGCCCACCCCTCTTACCCCGCTGTCCCCTGGGGAGCTGGCGAGAAGTCAAGCCCACCTCTGTGGTGGGCTGGCCCCAACAGGCTGTCCTGTTTTCCCTCTGTCCCCTCCCCTCCAGGCTGTCCCCCAAGGCTTCAGGCAGAAAAGTGGGGAAAGAAAGGAGGACATAAAGGGCCCAATGACCCCTCCTCACCCAGCCACGTGCCCCCCACCTGGGTTCCTGTGGTTTCTCTAATGGGGGCTGCACTCCAGAGTGACCCCACCTGGACCCCACACCCCCAGGCGGCCCTTGGTCCAGGACAGAGCCCACCCAGGAAGGCAGTGGGGTGGGGAGGATGAAGAAGAGAAAGCCCTGTTATCCCCCTTTCCTGTCCCCCACCCTCCCCTGGGGATCAGCACTAACCGCAAGGCTGCCCACCCCAGCTCTTTGAAGCTGCAGGGCGGCGGGGTGGGGTGGGGACAGGACCCAGCTGCCAGGGTTCGTGAGCTGCCCGCCCCTCTGGCTGCGTGGGAGCCAGGGAGTGACCACAGGGCCGCCAGCAGCCTTTGAAGTGATGAGGCACGGCCCCAGGAAGTGGGCAGTAGCCCACCCAGGCCCTAGGCCAACCCCGCCCAAGGGCTCAAGCCCCTGCCCACTGGGCTGAGAGCCCGGGCAGAGAGCCCAGCCTGAGAGCCCGGGCCTTAGCTGTCTCCCTGAGCTGGGCACCTTGGTTGCTCAGGTGCAAGTCAGGCTCAAAGACTT